TAGCTCTCATGGACTTAGCCTGGTCTCAGGTATTTATAATCTTCATGTTTTGTGACATTGGTTTGTCCAGTGATTGAGGCTAGCTCTTTCTAAGGGGCCCAACTGAATAGGTGTTTTCCTTCACCTGATGACAGAAACAGATCCAGTTTCCGAAACGTCCGTGTTTTTATTTGTTCTCTTAAAAACCAGGACGATGGATAAAGTCCAAAATCCCAACATATCAGTGTGTTATACACCATCGTCAGAATCCTATAGTAACTAATATTATAATGTTATTCAGTTTTGAGATTCATTCCATATCAGTTGACTTTTGATTATTTCACTTTTTTAGGCCACTTATTGCATTGAATATGTGCCCCCCCCCAACACACACACACAGAGGAACCTGAAGGTTTTCCGTTATTGTGCACAAAAGTCCACAACAAGATCCTCTGATTTATTCTCCAAGTCTGATGTCTGTTCAGTATTTTATAACATGAATATAGTTGTTAGCCCTACAATTTACTCAATATATTTCCAGCTACCCTCCAATTGTAAATGCTCTCTCTTCTATCCATAGCCTGATGACAAGGGACCAATTTAAATAACAACGTAAACAAACTCCACATTCCCACTTAACTGTTACTTCTATACTAGGTACATATCAGGATAGAAATAATTTGGTTCTCCAGATAATGACATTTCTTTCTCAGCATGTATGTCTACCATAAAGGGGTAACAGTAACAAGTCTTCTCCAGTTTAATATTTATCTTTTTCTTATGACTTAGCAAGTGATTACCCAACTGACAGCTGTAAGACATTGGTGGATGTTTCCTCTTCTTTTGTAGTGCACTTTATACTCAGACAGATCTTCACATGTGTGCAGGTACACATGCATGTATAACTGACAGGAGATAGCTTAGATAGACAGAATACATCTAAAGTAGATTTTGTACCATGAAAAAATCGTGTGTGACGTTTATACAATATTGTCAGTTAATCAGATGTGTAATTTACAAAAGTTTATTGTATTAAAATTTGTTGTAATTATACTCTAATAATTTTGACAGTTTGAATTGGTTTCTTCATTCTAATGAGCCCAATGCAAGCTTTTATAATACAATTTCTCTTCATTGAGGTTGGCATTAAAAGATGTACAAGAAACTGATGCTTTACTAACATATTTTAGAAAGTTCTTCAGCCATCTAATAGATAATTTTTTGTTATGTGAAAACCCATTTCTGTCCACTAAATTTAAGGAAATATGTGGAAGAAAAATACCATCATATTTTGTATTGATATCAGTTTTATCAAAGTTTTTATATTTGCAGTTTATCATCAGGTGACTGTGAAAGTAAATGTGTAGTAGCTAAAATCATTGTACATTGAATGCAAGTTGGAAGCTGTAGTGATATCTCTTACCTAATTGTTGTTACTTCCAGTTCTACATTGCAGTGATCTCAATCCATGCATTGTTCCTGTCAGTGAACCAGTTCATTATGTGCATACGTCATGAATGGAAGGAATGCTCCACATATTCTCCACCAGCAACTGTAGTCTTGTTGCTTTTTCTAGTATTTGAGGCTCTTCTTTTTGCCATTTTCACAGCTGTTATGCTTGGAACACAGCTCCAGGCTATATGGAATGATGAAACGGTAAGCATATTTGAATGTCGCTTGTTATGATACAAGTGAGAAAGCGTCTGTAACAAAGGCTGGTTCATTCATGGTGAATTTGAGGGTTTCACAGTAATGACCATTACGAGTGCTGTTTTCATGGATGTCCTACCATGTAATCTGGTAGAAGTTTATGGATATTTTAGAGGAATGGGGAGTATGTTCTTCTAACATTGGTAAATTTCTGTTAGTACCCTTCAGTGTCTGTGGTAGCTTTAGAAAGTTCAATATAGGATCACTCTTTCAAATCTTGTACATGGTTAGCTTCGAGTTAGTGACAACATATGTCCACCAACATTTTGATATTTGTTGGAAATTATCACACTCATTGTTTTGAAACATTTTCTTTTCTGCTGCATCCTTGTAGATCTTCCCTTATGTTGCTCTTTCATCTGTGGAGAGAAGTAGGCATCACATGGTATGAGACTATGAGCCATGTGGGTGGGAAAGTACCATGGTACCATGCTTAGCGAATTCCTGCTGTGTCAGGGCTGTCTCATGGAGATGCATGTGTCCATGTCCTCATTTGATGTTACATAACCCCCAGTTGGAACACCTTTATTAACCCTTTGAAATCCAGTGGTAACTATATGTACCATCTTCTTTAACATTATGAAACTCTACATTCTATCCATAGAGTGTATTTTCATGTTTCACATGGTTCTCACAATAAACAGTGGCTGTTTCTCAGAACTGTGTTAACCAGTTGGTCTTTGGAGCAGAGACATAATGTGTTTTCTGTGAGGCATGAACTGATTCTTATATATTTTGAAAAAAGTCTTTACAGGGTCAGATGAGTTATGAATCATACTAGGTGTCAGCAGGTTGGCTGTGGTCCCACTCTGCTTGTCAAAATTGTCTCTCTCTGCCTTCTTTTTAATGTATATTTAAGTTGTGTTCCTCTGTCCTGTACTAGTAATAACATGTAATATTAAAATAAATAGAGGTGAAAATTGGCCATGTCTTATTGTAACCTTCCACTGGTAAACTGCTATATTGATTTAGATCAGCCTTATACCCTTTCATTCTGTTATAGAGTACCCCAGAGTCAAGTATTTTCATGCTTGAAATGTGCTAGTTTCATGACTAAAGCATTTACTGACAGACAATATTATCTCACTATGAACATTGTAAATTATATACTTTTCATGTACCTTGTTTATGACACACAACAGGATGCATACTTTGTCTTTTCGTATGTAGGGAATTGAGCAGCTGAAGAAAGAAGAGGCCCGCTGGGTGAAGAACTCTCGATGGAAGAGTATTCAAGCAGTATTTGGACGATTTTCTCTTGCGTGGTTTTCACCTTTCACACGCCCACCATCTAAATCCAAACTTGAAAATTACCTGTATTCAGTGTAAAGGAACTGTAATATATTCTTAGTAGGATGTAACCTCTCTTTAATACCACGTGTACTTTGGTGAAGATCGTAAGGACTTATTTTTGGTGATTATGCGTAGGTTCCTGGCATTGCTAACATAGGTCACTATGTTGCATGGGTAATTGTAGCTACTGTAAGCCAGCCCAGAAAATTTTCATGCACAAAACAGTTCTCATTATTTTCTGTGAGTCTAAATTTCCTTTGTTAATGTGAGGCTATTTGTGATTCCACTTGCTTGCTTGGATCATTGTTAATGTTAACTAAACTCACTGATGATTTTATATATAAAGACCAGTTTTGTTTAAGATTTATGCATTTCTGTTGTCAGTCTCTTGAAGCATGTTACTTTATGGCTATGCATTACATTCCTGTTGGTACTGTAACCAGCATTATAACAAGGCTTGCTTTGTTTGTATTGTACTGTGACAGTTCATAATGACCTTTAACCTGAAGATGACCTGTCTTGTCTCCTGTTATAGTTTCGTATAGGGTGTAATCACCAGAAACTTGGATGCCTGCGCACAAAGTTCCACAAAGCCATGTTACAGTTGATGCCATTTAGAAATAAAACATAAGCAACTTCTTGTAACTTCTTACAATCACAATGATAAACCCTTTTCTTGAACAATCACACAGTGTCAGTCTCAATCACAGACGCAGGATCCTGTCATCATATCACAAAATGCAATGTAATTGTGCCTTATAGACATTTTTGGTTTAGAGTAAAAGATTTAATATAACATTACACTAATTTCCTCTCATGTTCTAAAGGCCGCATCTGTAACCGTTACTAGATTAGTAATGTAAATAAGAGTGAAGGCACTTACTTACAGCATCTATTGACATTCTCTGCACTCATAAAATTTTTCTTATTTCTCAAAATACTTCTGAAAAGAAGTCTGTAGAATAAGTGTTTGTTTTAAGTACATAAGGAAGTCAAAATTTATCCCCACTCTTGTTTTTCCAATTTATATACACAAAAGTAGGCGTTGAACAAGTACGTCAGTTTTCCTCTCTTTTCGATGCCCTTGGTCCAGCGGTCAACAAGCTTGCATATTCCCTCCAAGAAGAAGGTCTTCGGTTGGTCGCACAACCATTTATGCACCGCTTCCCCCACTTCTTTGTCCGTAGAAAATCGACAACCTCGCAAAGCATCTTTGAGCGGTCCAAAGAGATGATAGTCGGAAAGGGAAAGATCTGGGCTATAGGCAGGGTGTTCCAGTACCTCGAAATCCAAATGGTTAATGTTTTCAACAGTCTGGTTGGCCGTGTGTGTGCGTGCATTTTCATGCAACAACAACACTTTCTTCGACAATAGGCCTTGGTGTTTGGTGCGAATTGCTGGCTTCAGCTTGTTGGCCAGCAAATTACTGTATCCTTTACTGTTGATCGTACCCCCCTTTCCCAGGTAGTCTTCCAGTATAGGCCCTTTTGGATCCAAAAAAAACAGCATCACCTTTCCTGCGGAAGATTGAGTCTTGAATTTCTTTTTCGTTGGCGATCCTGGGTGTTTCCATGCCATACTCTGAATTTTGGATTCTGGCTCATAGTTTCATATCCTGTGACTTTTCTGCTCAAAATTCTTTGCCTTCATTGTTGTAGCGGTCAAGTAAGCTTTGGCAGATCTCAACATGTTTACACTTGTGCTCTGTGGTAAGCTCTCTTGGCACCCATCCCGCACAGACTTTATGGAAGCCGAGCTTGTCGTGGAGAACACACTACCTCATCGATGGTAACTCGCTGGTTAGCCAGTACAATCTCCCGAGCTTGGTGAATCTTCTCTTCAGTGGTGGAGGTTGATGGGCATCCTGCTCCCTCTTTGTGCATCACGCTTGTCCGACCACTTTTAAACTTCTCAATCTACTCATGCACACTTCTATGCGGTCGAGCACTGTCCCCATATTGTGTTTAAAGCCTCCAATGTATTTTAGCCCCTGACACACTTTCCGACCAGAGAAATCGGATCACTGCTCTTTGTTTCTCCTTGGTGCACACTGCTAGTGGAGTGGCATGTTTACACTGTCACAGCATCAAGGAAAATGACGTGATCAAAGTCAAACTTCGATCAAATGACCACAGTAGTACCAACTCTAAGCATACATGTGCAGAAGGCAGTGTGACAAACCTAAGATGTGTTATGGTGAAAGTGCTGATAATTTTTTACTTTCACTCGTACATGTGTATTTTTTTGTGTTTGGCATATTAGATGAAATGGTAAGAAGAATTTTATTTATGCCCATGTATCTATGGGGATATTCTAATGAACTGATCTGAACTGAAATATACTTGATTTCAGTAGAGACCTCCTACACTAAATTTCGTCAAAATCCACCAAATAATTTGGAATTGGATGAATGTGACCTTTAATGATGTAACATTTCTGGGAAATTATGTGTAAGAAGTCTCTTAATTTCGGTAAGCATAGAGAAGCAACTGAAGTGTAAGTAGATTCTAAAGGGTTCTGACTGTGGTTTATAACACTCAGAATTATTAGGTTTCTGGGCTTTGTCCATCATCTGGTATTCTAAGAAACTAGAAAACACAGTGTTTCAGAACCTGGATCCGTTTCTGTCCTCAGTCAAAGGGGGAGGACATGTACTCTATTGGGTCCCTTAGGCAGAGCTAACCTTGATTACCAGGAAACCCATGTCAGTATAAATACCACTATATAGATATCTGAGATCAGGCTTTGTCAAAGGGAGATAAGAGGAAAATATGCAATAAAAATTGTGATGATGCATGCATAGACCTGAAACTAAGATAGAAAGGGAGTTGACAATTTTACATAACAACCTAAGCAACAAACCAAGTGCAGAAAACCAATGCATGTGATTAATTGGAGAATTTGGTGAAACCATATTGTGTCTACCCCTAGTGCCATCTGTGGAGTAAAAACAGAACACTCGGGACTAAAAACTTACAGAAACCCAGGAAGGATCTGTCACATCACACAGATCTTCTCTGTGAGTTGCTAACCTCATTGCTGATAAGGGGGATGCAGGTGGGAGAAATGTCCAAACTGCGTTGGCTGATCAGATTAGTTAAGCATGCCATATTGGCCAATTCCTTGTATTTCCTATACCTGCTGCTGCTTTCAATTTCCAAAATCCTAGCTTCATCCCTGCATACCGATGACCCTTTCATAGGCACGTTGGGCTAATTTTGATTTTTCTAGAAGACCCTCTTTGAGATTATACGCAATGTTCACAGAAACGCACAGGTAGAGATCTGCCTGTTTCACCAATGTAACTTCTGCCACATTCACAGGGAATGTTATAGATGCACTGTGCTGTCTGTTGCTAATCTCTTTCTGGCCTGGTTTTCATGAGTGAACTCGTAAGAGTGTCTTAATTTTGATGATCTTCATAATGTTATATCGATTCCCTGTGCGTTTGAACTTCTCTGAAACACCCCTTCTGGATTCTGTGTATATCCCATATGTGAAAGGTTTTTCACAAGTTTCTGTACATAATGACTTAATTTTACACATAATTTTGATGTATGAGCTTCGTGAAGCCAGCATTGACAGTTATGATGGACTGCCACATTGTTTTCACATTTTTAGTCCCACTTCAGTCCAACAAGATGAAAATTGCTGGAGTTAAGCCTTGTTTATGAGTAGGGGGTTATAATTTTGCTGGTAGAAGGTTCTTTCTTGAATTACTTCCACTGTGGTGTTGTCTCATTTTCTTTTTACTTGGTTATTTTGACACTGTTGATAGTGACACTATATGGCGGTTTGCTAGGTTTTGTCATAAGTTATTTCAATACAGGCACTTTCCTGTATCTGACAGCAATTTTCCAATAGCATTTATGATCAATATTCAGCTGTTTTGCAGACATTCTTCTGAATGCTGTGTTCTTATGAATGATTTTTAACACAGATACATTAGGTATTTCAATGTAGCCATGTCATCAACATGGAAAATGTTTACTTCAGTGATAGAAGGTCTAATATCATCAAGAACAGCCTTCCAGTCTTCTCAGAGGAGGCAGAGGTAAAAGTTAGCCCTGTGCTTAATTAAGCACCACTTTGAAGATGTATGTGGGAGTCGAAGCATAGTTCCAATTGTTCTTAATCTCTCTGCTGTATGGAAGTGAATGGTCAGCTTCACACTTAGCCACTTTTTTCCCTGTGGAAACATACGAGTATGCTGGAGTTTTATGTATGAGATGGTGTTGTATTATTTTCTGGAGGAGTGCTGATTGGATAGGAGGTTGGATGGGTCCTAGGGCTGGTCTAGACAAAGTGGAGAAGAGAAAAATCTCTTGCCTGTGCTGCAAATTAATGCATGATTCTTCAGTAATCCAGCCTATAGTCTAGTATGATAAAAAAAAGTAAAGCTATCCCTGTACCAGGCCATGAAGGCCCATAGGATTGTGAGACGTTGAGGGTCCCACATTATCTACACAGACGGCTCAAAGATGGCGGTAAGGTTGTCAGCCTTATGCGTCGACCGCGCTTTACTCCTAGGAAAATTATTTAACTAATTCCTGGTACTCATTTCTGTTAGAGCCCGAGTGAACCCCAGGGCCATAGTGCGGCTGGAAGGATTAGGTCAATTGAAAAAAAAATCCAATGACCTCATTGGGACTTGAAACCACGACCTTCCAGCTTGTGGCATAGTTCCTCAACCAACTATGGTACCGCGTGCCCCCCAGTCTAGTAAGATATGCCAGTATAATTCAGAAGCCCTGGAGCATGACATTTATCCTTGAACATGTCAGATTTATGAAGGTGAATTTCAGCACTGAAAACCATCTCAGCTATGAGAAACTTCATCATGTACTGTAAATTTGCTGTTCACCTACCAAATTTTTTGGTGTTTTGAATAACAGTAAAAATAATCAAATCCTGAAATTTATACTTCTGCCACTAGCTGTCAGATGCGTGCAACATCGCATGCATTAATATCTTATCACTTAATGTGAGTACAGCATTAAAAACAAGAATTTAGTCCTGGAATTTATTATATGCTCTATATAAACTACTACATGGCAGAGTTCATAATGGAATGCATTCTGTCAAGGTTTACTTACAGGTTACATATGCATTGTATGTAGAATTTGAGGATGTTTTTATGCTGAAACTATTAATATTACGTACAGTTTAACCAATTTTGTGCTGTTGTTTGTTGATGGTGAACTTAGGAATCTGTTACTTATGGCAAGTATCTTGCTGGCTGACATATCTGTTTCTGAAATTTAGTAATATAGTCAAATCTGGTAACTGTTGGTATAAGTTGAGTGCAGTGTGATGGTAAATTCTGAGAAACAAGTATTTTTGCAGATTTTTATATCATTAAGCTCTCAAATAGGCTTTTGGTCTCTGAGTACCATTTTCTTACATGGATGTTATATTGAGAAGTGAAGATTAGCTGTTTTACTGAATTTTTGCCTGTTAAATTTGTGTTTATCTCTGAATCCTGAGTAATCTGAAATGTAGGCCGCACCATAGCTCAAGCAGTTAGTCACTGGCTTCCCACTGTGACAGCCCGGGTTCGATCCTGGGTCTGGTCAACTGGGATTTGTGGTGGACAAAGTGGCGCTGGGGCAGGTTTTCTCTGAGTACTTCGGTTTCTCCTATCAATCTTCATTCCACCATTGCTCCACAATCACCCTCATCTATCATCTGAGGCTGGTACAATAGGCCAGAAGTGGCCGCAGTACAAGGCACTTAGTCCCACCCCTCTAGCAATAAAAAAATCTGAAATGTAATATTTTTACAGAGTTTAGTACATTTGAGTTGTCAGCACAGCAAGTAGAAGAATAAACACTTTCCAACTTAATGGCATCAACAATTGACAACTGGCATGTGGTTGAATGTTGGAAATTATTGATTAAGTAATTAAAGAACATTATTAGTGGCACAGCTGGAAGCAGGAGAGGAGCAGGCATCCCCCCCCCCCAGACTGTTGTAACAAAATCAAAATTGAAAGAAAGATGGAAATACATCAAATATTAATATAAAAATTACAGTTCTCAATTTATCCTGGAAGTCCCAAGTTCATCAGTAAAAATATTCTTAAATGGTTTGAACTGAGTTTCTAAGCAAATCATCTGGCTTATCCATGCTGTTACCCTAGCCCCATGAAGTTAATTTTTGGTACAGAAACAGGTAGTGATTTGGCTTTGAGTTTTATTACTGACGTCTGTACCTC